ATTATTATTATTATTATTATTATTATTATTATTATTATTATTATTATTATTATTATTATTATTATTATTATTAAAATATCATTTAATATCTCTCTAGATGAAGAGCTGAACAATCTCATAGGAGCTGCCACTGCTTTTGGTAAACTGACTGAACGTGCTTGGACTGGACTAACAACAAGTTGCCTTTAGCAACTAAAGTGACCATTTACCAAGCCTGTGTGCAAATATCATAAGAATGATGTTTTGCCCTACCTGACGTGTTTTCAGTATTCGGTACGATAATCACTTTTATTTAGGGACGTATTGAGTATTTGGTACGATAACACGTCAGGTAGTCCAAAATATCTCTCCTATGGTTAGAGTTGTTTCATAATTGCATTGGATACAACCTTGCCACCATATAGATGAAAGGTGCCATATATATTTATTGTTTTATAATAGTAATTCCCAAAATTTACAGCATTCATATTGAAAAAAGATTCCCTAATCCCTCTTTACTTTGCATAACTAGCCTCGAAAAGAAGCCCATTTAAATTTCAAAAAGAAAAAAAAAAGCCCAGGGCTTCAATTCGAGGTTTTACGGTAAGTAGCGATAGGCTTGAATTTGTTTCACAAATGATTACGAAATAGTGGAGGGTAAAATTGGACTTCTATAATGATATGCTATTATTGTGAATTTATTATTCATCTTTGCTTTTCAGATGATTTCTATTTATATATAGAGACATCATCAACACACACATATGGCGATAAAGCACGCATCATAAGTCCTACTCTACAGAGTAAATGGACGGACTTCTGTGTGCAGTTTTACTACCACATGTACGGGGCAAGCATAAACGAACTGAAATTGTGGTATCACTTTACCTATTATGCTAGTGTTTCTAACTGGTTCAGGCAAGGAAGCCAAGGCGACAAATGGCACTATGGGTACACTAATTTCAGAAACGACTACTACCATTATGATGACGTAAACAATTATGTGTATTTTGATGCCGTGGCTGGCAATACCTACACAGGTGATATTGCTATTGATGATATCTTTATCAGTGGGGGCGTGTGTCATGAAAACCAGGGTAGGTATAACTTAAATGGTATTTCGAAATTTCTTATTATAATAGGCCTATTATCGATTTCAGTATACAAAAATAGCATTAAAGGATGTCTACATGAGATAAGTAGAATGACATATCATTTATGTATTATTAATTGTGTTTTGCATTTATGAGATGAATGATTTAAAGGTTTAAAAATATTGTACACCAGAACCCCTCCTTTAGGGCATCCCTATTAAGAGGACAATTTTTCGGGCACGAAACTAGAAAAGTGTATCTTTTAACACTATGGCCAAACCCAATTAAGCGGTTTTTATACAAAATATTATTATACAATGAAAAGTCATGGGAAAATTTGATAACTTTATCTTTACCGTGTTATCAGCAGATTCATCAGGCGTGATTTAGCGTGAGTTATTCACATAAGAAAAATGAATTTGAACATTAATACGTAATATGTATATATTCCAAAAGTCACCTTGTATTGCCTCCGGTTGCATTCGTAGTATATATA